GACTTTCTCTGGTCTTTACCCTTCCTCTGTACACTGTGAACTTGAACCAGATGATGTATCTGTTCTCCCTCAGGCCATGGACATTTACATGACTCAAAGTGTTTTAAGAAAACTGTATTTTTTACCTCAGGATGTAAAGTCAATTTCTCTGAAATTTTAAGAACACAATATGGCTATTATTTGACAGTCTATTCTTAGAGTCACCGATGTCTCTTTTTGTTGTCACTAAAATCAACTGACTGAGTACTGATTGTTCCTAGCATTCAATACTGGATTATAAATACAGTGCTGAGGGACTGCTTCCAGGTAGAAGGCCATTTCCTAAAACTAGTATGCTTATTAACTACTTGCTACATTTTAATCCTGAAGAAAGTGAAAAGATGCTGCTCAAAACATCAATGAGGAAAGTGGGTATAGTTCTATAAAATATAAGAGCTGTCTGGTATAATTATCATATTTAATCTGCATAATAACACACTAGGTAACTCTTCCAAGTCCTCACTTTACACATGAGGAAAAGGAGATTCTGGAAGAAAAGTACATTCAGTCAGCAAGGATCAGAACTTATATGTAAACCCAGGTCTCCTGTTCTGAATGCTTTGTTCAAATAAACCAAGATTCTCCTATTGCCCTGGACCTCTAGGTTTCATCAGATCCTTTCTCATATTATCTCCTCCGGCCTGGGGAGCCTCCCCCCATGCCTGTTCGCTATGTGCTTCCCAGCTGCCTCCCAGTCCATGGTTAATTTCCCATCATTTCCGTGAGCAGATGTTCCTGAGGGGCAGCGCGGCTCTCTCATCCCTGCCACTATCTCCTGCGGATGCCTGGATTCAACACAGTAGCCGCTGGCCATCCTTTTGATCTGAAAAGAAAAGATTTCCCCACTAGGATATTCCTCATGATGATGTAATTAGTATCCTGGACATACCTAGCAAATTTATATCTAATCACAGGGGATGAGAGGAGAGGAGAAAAAGCCATTCATCGTGGATTGTGCCAGTTGCTGCAGATAATATGCGCGGTCCTGGCTCCCTCCTCCCACGCAGTGTCCTCTTTAGGGATTGTTCAAAGACTCAGGGGCAATAGGCTGCTCTTCAAAAGCAGTGGGGAACTTCGCATTCATAAAGGGGTCCAAGGCGCTATTAAATTGCTTTTTTCAAACTTGGCAAAGACATTAGAACTGGAAATCCTTTCAGCTTCAAACTGTCCCTAGCATTAAGAGCAGGTGAAGCTCTTAATAACTTTTTGGAGACTGTTTGGATTCAAAGACACAACATGGAACATTCTGTACAAACAAATCCAGCTGTGCAAAATTTCCAGTCTTGTGAGTAGAGCAGCAGTATAATGTTTTTTGCCCAAGATAGGGTTTTGAGGTATTGTTAGAAAAGCTGGCTCCTGAAGTCATGTATCACACATTAAAGACAAATTTAAAACATAATTAACTCATAAACTTATTAATGAACCACAAGTATAATCTGAGATCCACTATGTAAGTATTAATTTGAAGGTTAGAAAATACTTTAGGCTGACATGCCATGAAATAGGCTGTGATGTGTGGTTTTATATTGCTAGAAAGCATTAACTAGGGAAAGAGGGATAAAGTTGGTGAAACCCAGTCTGTCCATTAATCAGTCAGCAATTCATTTGAGACCCAAATAGCGCACAATGCCATCTCCTTTTAAAAGCATTCTTAAGGCAAATATTTCATAAGGATAGAAGCAAAAGCCCCACAGGCCACCGTTGTTATAAATGAAGGCAACGAGAAAGAACATGGCCCGTAGCCAATTTCCACATCTCTGCATATGACCTTAGCCTATTGTCAGGAATATGAATATGCCTAGTGACATCATTCAAGAGGCTTGAAAACACCGGACAAAGAGTTTTAAAATCTACTGAGAAAGAAACACTTGGAGATATTTTAAATTGCTGTTTCAGAAAACAATATTTATAGTTTAGATTTTGATGTGAAGTTTTGAATTGGTCTTTTTGTGATAAAGTTTTAAAAAGATCAGATGCTACAATCAGTTATATGGATGGTTGGGCACCTGCAGGACAGTAGAAGCAGGAAAGAATAATTCATACAGCCAAACGTTAAGCTCCTCAGATGTAGAGTCTGCCATGCACCTCTCAACCCTAGAGACAGTGAGTTTTAGAGGCAGGAACTCATTCACATCTATTTTTCTCTTCCTAAATAAACACCACAAGTTCTGAGACCTGTAATAACCATACCTGCTTCTTCTCACTGTGTTTTTAAATTTCTCGATACTCTGTTTTTGTTTATTTATTTTGGTATAGATAAATGGACAAATGTATTTATACCAAAGGGCAAATCCGTGGTGCTGTACCAGGGAACCCGTGCATGACTCTTTTATTATTTTTATTTTTTTATTCTGAGATCATCTCACTAAGTCACCCAGGTGGGACTCAAACTTCTAATTCTCCTGTCTCAGCTTTCTTCCAAATAGTTCTTGAATTCCTCACTTGCCAGTGCAGCTATTGATAAAATTAAATGGCCTGCTTGACAGATAATAGCAGTGTAATATGCATTAGTAGTTTGCATTTTTAGAATTTGCCACTGTGTGCGCTCATATACAGTGCTAAGTAGATCTGACCCATAGTCAAGTGAGCATGGCAGGATACCAGCAAAAGTTAAAACTTGGTACGGTTTCCAGCAAGTACTGAAGATGCTGAGGAGAGGTCACCAGTCTTATCCTGTGGACAGCCAGTCCCAAAGTTTTCTTTCCCTGCCCCTATTATGTTTCCTCTATACAGAAAAAAATTCCTCAAATGGTACATGTTTTTAGTACTCCAGGGATCAATTTACTCTGCATTGGATATTTTCTGTCTCATAGCATTTATGACACCTATATTTAACATTATTTGATAATTACTTCTAAAGGAAAAATATTTTATTAGGGTGATGGGCAGTGCATTTATATGATTAACAACAATTGTCTCCTTGGCAGGAGACGCTGGGAATTCACTGTCTGGTGAGGAAACAGCATCCTTTTGCCAGTCAGGAACTCAACTAGGACACTGGAGATTGTCATGAGACAATCACAGACGGAAGACTCCAGGGCTGAGAGTCAGAGATCAGTAAACACAAGTTCTGTTTAAATCATAATCTTGCTTCAAAATAACAAGTTTAGCCTCTGAAATATCCCTGCCATTACTGTTAGTCAGCTTTCTTCTTGCCATTCAAAGAATAAATGGAATGAAAATGCATGAGATTATTGCTACAGAAATTTCTCTGGGAAACAGGCATTTTCAGTCTGGGTTGTATAAAACTGTCTTGAAAAGCTGGTGTGTGCCCAACTTGGGCTAAAGAAAAGAAGAAATGATGACAAGGGGTGGAAGAAAATTAAAATTGAGTTAATGTCTACCTTCCAGACATTTCACTGGGTGGCATTTGCAAACTTCTTCTTTATAAGGAATGAGGACTGACTTAAAAATGAATTATCTGTAAAAATATACAAGACCTTAGCAATGCAAAATAAAATAAATTATCCAGCAGCATCTGAATAATTTGATCGGGGCAGTGCTCCAACTGTCTCCCATTTCCCTTCAGAATTAGTGGGCGCATGAAAGATGTGGCTCATGCTGGAGCTCTCTACTTTTCACTTTAATTTTAAAATTGGGCAGATCTCTCATTGTGAACTTAGTGAATGAGTTTGTGATATCAAAACACTAGGGTACAGAGTAAAAATTCAGTCAATCACAAAAGCATTCTGGCTTTCTGTAGGCAAGCGAAGGTTATCCTTTCAAATAGTAATTATTTTCACACAAAGGTAAGCCCTGCCATATCTTGTCACAATCTGCACTGTGAGATCGCTTTTCTGTGAGAACAGAGCACACTGAGAATCCCCCGAGTCTTTGGTGATTTAGAAAAAATTTTAAGTTCTGTATCTCTAACTCAAATTCCACAGTAAATTTCTCTGCAATAAATTATCTCTACAAAGACTTCCTTATTAAGCAAATCCCACTGGCACTGATGCCTGGTAGCTGAGACACAGACTATCAATCTAACATGTATTATGAGAGATAAATATAGCATTCGTTCTAAATACTGTGCACTACAGCCTGCTGTGACCATGTATACCTGTGACTTTCCACTGTGAAGACAAGAGAAAAATACATCTTACAGAGAAATAAAATAAAAATTGAAAAGTACTCTCCACAGTCTCATCTCTGGGCTGATTGTGGTGAACCATGAGTGGTAATAGCAGGACCTAACAGCCACTGAGCACAGTATGAGTCCAATTGATCATTGGTCTGTGTGACCTCAACAGCCACATGACTTATTTGCAACTTTCTAACGTCATAAGCAGTTTCATTGCACTCGGTTTCCATTCTCAATTAAATGGAAATGTTCAAACTCCAACTGGCAAAACGACCTTTATAATACTATCGTTACAACAAAATTGTTTGAGGAAAAATACAGTATAGGATGCCCTAGTTTGTAACCCTTTTATGAGCCAACTGCACGAGCTCTGGAATATTCACCTAGCTTTTTCCTTGTCTCTCTCATTACTTTAACCAGTCTTACCCATGACACATCCCTATCATTCATTTTATCACTTAGTAGAAATGGAAACAGGTCCCAACACTGAGGTAGATAGAGATACAAAGCAAACAGCCAGTGAAGGAACCAGGCCACCTAAAGCTGCAGGGACATTATACTCCAGGAGATGAAAAATTGAGATCAAAATATGAAGTTAGCAATTCAAAGAAAAGAATAAGTGCATGCTTTTAAATCCAGGAAGCCAGCAACAGAAATCAAAAGCAAAAGGGCTGAGAAGAAGGAGACAAGGTCTCAGGAGCACCAAGGGATTGGGTAAATGGGCTGCTTTTACAGAGATGCCTGGCTTTCAGGTACTATTCCACTACTGATTGGTGAAAGTGAATTACATTTAAAGAACTGTCGGCAAGACATGTTTCCTTAAGTAAGCTACTAAATATTTTTCTGTTCATCCTTAAAATATTTAAAGTTTTCTCCTTACCTATTAAATAAGCCCAACTATTTGGGCTGGCATTGGAACTCTGACGGCAAAACTCCTTCTCCAATAGTACTTTTCATCAGGATTCATCTTCATGAAGTCCTCTATGTTTGTTCATGGTGATGTCCTGCTGGGAGCTGGAGAGGAACTGTGCCTTCAGATTAAAATGGCACCAATTAGGGGAGAAGGAAACCTATATCAAATCACACACTGGTAAAATTTCAGAATATTAAGAAAAAGTAAAACACCCCAGGGACCATTAACTCTTCTATGCTTTTGAATTAATGTTTCATAAGTCACGCCTCAAAATTTCAAATCTTTTTTCCTCATCCTCATTCATAGACAATGGTTTGCTCCACTTCAATAAAAAAGAATTGAAGCAATTAGAAGACTATGTTCACGCTGCAGCAAGACATCTACTTACTACCTCCTGCTCTGCCTAGACAACTGCCTTGTGATCCAGCAGGGCAGCCTAAGAGATGCTGCTCCTCAAACCGACTGCACCCTATATTACTCAGCCTACCCTCTGTGGCATATTTAATCACGTAAACTAGTGCACTTCTTTTTCCTTATCATGGTTTCTCTAATTGACCACTCCTTTCAGGATAGAAATACACTTCTACTTCTTTTCTTGACCTCTTTACAAGAGTTATCACCATTTTTTCATTTCTTTATTTCTTTTTTCAGCAAATCTACTTGCAAAGATTATCTGTATGACTTGCCTCGAATTCCCTTTCTTTTCTTTTGTTTCTATCCTGCCATCATTAATGTACCTTCAGTCAGACTTCCTCCCACCACTATAACCTCTCCACCAAAATTGCTCTTGTAAAGGACATCAATATTTGCAATTTGCTAAATCTTAGGGGGGATTGTGAATCCTCCTATTATTTGCCTCAGCAGCAGCTTTGGACATAAAGCACTAACTTCTCTTCCTTCATATTCTTTGTCTACTCAGCTTCAGGACAGTGGGCTTCTTTCAGTTTTTTTTTTTAAATAGTTACTCCTTCCAAACATCTTCATTTTCTCCTTTGCTTGTAGATCTTTTGTTGTTGAAACATTATCTCTGCATTTTGTGCTGCTATAACAAAATACTACATGTTATTAAATTTATAAAGAAGAAAATTTGCCAGGGATATATTTCAGTGGCACAGTGCCTGAATAGCAAGTGTGAGGTTGTGAGCTCAATTCCCTTTACCAAAAAAGAAGAAAAAAAATTATCACACTTCTGAAGGTTGAGAAGTCCAACAGCAGGCTTTGGAAGGTTCAGTTGCCTTCTGCTTCCAGAATCATGCTTCTAATGTACATCCTCTGTGGGGCAGAGGAGCTGAATCTGTACCTGGGGAAAGGGAGAGGGCACTGGGGTAAATGCTTTCTATTCAGGCATCTTCTAAGGGCACCAGGTGCCATCCACAGTGGTCCGGCCCTCATCACTCCATCCTTTCACAAATGCAGAGCCACTAAACACTATCATGTAGGGAGCGTCAACATAAACTGTGAAGAAGACAAAAGCACTAAAAACACAGAAAGCACCCTGAGGATTACTATTTTTTCTCTATCTACAGTTGTTCCCTAAGGGCTCTTATCCATCTCATTATTTTACATACTACCTAGATGGGGTAATCCCCAAATTTATACTTCTGTCCAGACTTCTCATGAATTACATTCATATATGACATCTCCAAAATTTAACCAATTTTTCTAAACCTCAAACTATTCAATCTATGAGTTTCCCTACCTCACTGATATTTCAATTGCTGAAATAAAAAATCTTGGAGCTATCCTTCAATCCTTTCTTTCACATTCCACATGTAATCCAAATGGATTTGCTATTGATATCACTCTCAAAATATATGAGGACTCCAACTAGAAGTCACCCTTTCCTGGTCTGAGCACACATAAGAGATACCATGCAAACACTAAGTCACATAGAGGTGGGAAAAACATGGATATAAAAACATATATGTCATGAACACTAAGCATAAAAATATAGGACTGGTTATTAAAATGCAAAATATCTGATTGGCTGGAGGTATGAGGTTGCATTATCCTTCTATGTCTTATCATTTTATATTTTGAAAGTTTTAATTTGTTTTCTTGTAAGTTTTTGTAGCAGGTAGCTATATCATTACTATCAAGGCCTCTATAGGTAAGGTTTGTTCTTTGAGAATGTCTTCTATGTGTAGTAGGTTCTATGTGTAGTAGTGTGGCCAAGAAAAGTAGGATTGACAGAGACTCCAGCCCCGCCCACTGTGGATACTAGTATCCAGGTGAAAAGCAGGGCAGGAAGACACAGAGACCAGCGAGGACCTGAGCCACACAATAGGGCCCCAGCCGGGACACACAGGGTAAACAGGTGGGACAAGTGACACGAAATTGTCAGAAGTAGCAGTAATAATACAGGCTAACCGGTGGTAAGTTAGGTGATCCAGACTTGTGCTTAGGAACAAGGACACACTGAATAGAAGCAGGCAAGTGGGGCTTCCTCTTTTCTCTCTTTTTGCTTTCTCTTTCTTTTTTCTTCTTTTTTTTTTCTTTTTTCTACATGGCTGGAGAGAAATATAGCCACAGAAAACTAATCCCATCCCCTAAGCCCAGACATCAAGTTCAGATATTCCCTTGCTTACACCTTTACTCTTGCTTTTCTGCCCTCTCCTCCAGTTTCCTAAAGCTTGTGTGGTCATCTTTTGTCCTCCAGTCTGGCTTCTACTTTCTTTTCAGTTATCTTTGTTTTATTCACTATCTCTCTTAAATTTCCCCACCCCATGGTAAAATCACTCTACAAGGGGAACCACTTTGCATACAAGCTCCCAATTTATGATCAGTTCCATAATATAAATATAGATTTTGCTCCTATGGTTAAAGGTACAAAATCAGTAGTTACCACAGTTGGTCAGTGTCTAACTGTGCTAGATGCTGCTGTTATTGCTAGTTACACTGTGTTAGCTAGGATGTCATATCTGTTTTAACCAGTTGTTCTCACTTCTATAAAAATACTGAGAAGTTCTGGGGTTATAACCTCACTACACCCCAGCACCACAGGATTGGGGACTGAGCCAAACAGATACCAACATCTCACTCTTAATTAATTGGAAAGATAGGATCTTGGGGCAGTTACAAACCAAGAACCTACTACACATAGAAGACATTCTCAAAGAACAAACCTTACCTATAGAGGCCTTGATAGTAATGATATAGCTACCTGCTACAAAAACTTACAAGAAAACAAATTAAAACTTTCAAAATATAAAATGATAAGACATAGAAGGATAATGCAACCTCATACCTCCAGCCAAACAAGAACAAGTCCAGGAGACAAGGAGACAGAAAAAAATGGAAGAAACATACCTGATAGTTCTCAAATGATAGCAACCAAGGTAAAGAAAAAAATCCATGAGGCTATAGAGGAAATCAGACCAGAAATAATCTCTCAGGTAAGAAGAGAAAAGTCAGCATTTGTAAAGGAATTGCTCAGCAAATATACAGTAGAGATAAAACAATAAAAGGTGATGGGAAGAGGATGCAAACAGTGAATGATCTATTGATCTAGTAAAAGACAGAATGCATGAAATGGATTTGAACAGATATCCAAGAAATTAAAAATTCCATTAAAACCTTGCAAAACTGCTTGAATGAAATTGAGGATAGACTTTTAGACCTTGAGGATAGGATCTA